TTCATGAACCCGGTTGAAGTTACTGTAACTGGTAATTCCCAGACGATCATCCGGATATCATCATCCGGATTTACTGACGGATCTATCTGAATACTAATTAATAAATTATAGATTAGTGATCCTATTTGCCTTCAAACTCAGATAACAAATTACAAAATTATTTAATGATTAAATAATAATAAATATTTGTAATAATTGGTTTTACTACTTCACTTTATATCAGCCGAATTTCAAATAAAAATCGATCACCCGAATTCAGCTTGCCCACCCGAATACCCACGGAATTATGAGTTGATCAACATTGTAAAATTTTCTTCTTGGATAATATTTTGACAATTCCATCATTTTCGTCCACTAAAATTTTTATTAGTTATATAATTATATTTCATCATATTTTTATTATCATATTTTGATATGAAAGAAAAAGAATCACAAAATATTAACGAAATAATTTTTGAATGAAAGGAAGAAATTGTAATAAACATATTCTTGATCATTTTAATAATCACAAGTTAGGTTTACATGAATTCTATAATTGGTTTTTAAATAATTGTAGTGTAATTTATTTAAGAAAAAAACCATTTTAGAATTTTTATAAGTGCGATCTGATATAAAAATTCGTGCGATCAATTAAGAAATATAAAAAAAAAAAAGAATTGAAAAATTTTATGCGTGATTTATTAAAAAATAAATTTATAACTCATTAATATTAATAAAACTATTTAACTGAAAATTTTTAGTATAACAATTAAAATGCGAATTTACCAAATGATTTTTCAGTCAGGCGCAGACACCACAATTTAAAAATTATTTTACGTAATCTAAACGTGTGATTACGCAAATTTTTTTATTGTATTACTAGCACCCGTTGCTTCGCACCGGGATTAATTATTTAAAATTTGTTTGCCAACTTATTTATTTATTTATTTGCCTTAGATTTCTCTGTTACTCGTTTCTAAACTATTCAAGCTTCCTTCTCTACACTCATTTTTCGTTCCTCTACATAATATTTAATAAAGGAGTATAAAAATTTAATCAAATGTATAAAATTTTAAATAATAAATCATGAATAAGGCAATGTGAATGAATAAATTTACTCAAAAAAAGAAATAATAATAATAATAATAATAATAATAAATAGATAAATAAATAAGTAAAATAAAATAAAATAAAATAAATAAATAAAATAGAAAGAAAAAATATATATATATAATTTTAAAAAACCGTAAAAAAATTACCAAAATCGAAGCTGTTCGGATCTAATTAGTTTTTCAAAAAAAAAAAAATTGAATGTTTCAGCTAGATCACATGAATTGACAATTCTGGAGCCACAAATCTAACCCGAAAAAAAACTTCAAATTCACATAAAAACAATTTTTACTGAAATTTCTTTAGCCATAAAAATAATACTGAGTATACAAATATGGAACAGATCAGGCACGGACATAACATATTGCACAATTCAAATTATTTATATGGATAATCTAATTTTTTAATTAATATACTGTATATTATCCGATCTATTGTTGAAAAAAAAAAAATAAAAATAAAAATAAAAAATAAAAAAAAATTACATAAGGTAAAAAAGTCCAAAGTGTGATCTATTGTTGAAGAAAAAATAAATAAAAAAAATTACTCTATTGATATAAAAAAAATAACAAAAATAAAAATGAAAATTACTAATCGTAAAAAATGCAAGTTGAAATAAATTTTTATAAATTAGTCTACTACTTATTAGTATTAGTAAAACTTCGGTTACCGAGAACTAAAAAATAATCAACATGGATTTTCTGACCAAGAACATGGAATAGTTCAGACAGACAAATCGCGCATTTCACAATTCAAAATTATTCATCTAAACATAACGGTTACACGTAAATTTATTAGATATTAGATGTAGATATAGATATAGATACAAAATATTACAGATTTACTTACACCCTAATATTATGTTTAATTAAATCTTGATCTTATTTAGTGGATACTGAGCGTGATGATCAAATTGACCTAAAAATCCAGATATGAGAAAGAATTAGACTTACAATCAATACAAAAGAGTCATGTTCATTAAATCATCAATGATTTAAGTGAAAATTCAAGATAAAGAAAGCATATTATCAGATTAACAAAAAATAATTTTTGACGATGAATTAGTTGAAGGTTGAATTGTTTATTCTGTAATTTAAATGTAAAAAGAGAATATAAGAAATATTAGAACGTTTTCTAATTAAAAATAAACAATATTCTCATCTATCACATTATTGACTTGTTCAATAAGTCCGTCATGTTTTCTAAAGCAAAAATTTTAAAATAGAAAGGGAAGGTGAGGATAAAGTTTTTTTTTAAATAAAAAGATGAAGGAGGAACTTTTAAAAAAGAGCATAAATTTTTAAAGTGAAAAAAAAATTTTTTTTTTAAAAAACCAAACAGGACAGGGTGGGGGAGAAAAATCTTAATAACAAATAAATGCGAAAAATAAATGAATAAAAGATTTTTTTTTAAAAAAAAAAGACTTAAAAATAAAAAAAAAAATCATAATTCTTTTTAAAAAAATAAGAAAGTAAAAGTGATACGAAGTTAAAAAGTAAATTTAAAAAAAGGAAAGAACAAAATAAAAAAGTTGAAAAGTTAGAAAAAATTGTATTTTTTTTTTGTTTTGTTCATTTACTTTTTTTTTTTCAAAGTTGCAATATATGAAAGACAAAAAATAACGACAGAGGTAATGTAACACAATATTCTAAAATTTTTCGGTAATTTAATTGTTGGAATCGGATGCATTTATTAAATCCATAATGATATATCCGGTATTATTCTGTTCATTCGAATTTATTATATTCGGTTTCCTTTGTTATTCGGATTATTCGGATTTTGATTCGAATCGGATATGATCACATGATCATGTGACCCTTCAGACTTAATTGAAGAAGCCCCTGATTACCCTCATCCATACGATATCCAATCGAGTTTAAACATGAAGTTCACCGCAAGAAGCAATCGAACGGCCAAAAAGACTTGGGCATCGAGTCTTACAGCTCATTAATTTTATTATTTAGGTCAATTCCTAGAAAGGAAGGTTAATGCCCGTACAAGCGAAACTTGTATGCGCAATAATTGACCTTTCACTATCGTACTATTTCCATACGAATATATTATATAATCGAGCTTTTTGGAATACGGAAAATCACGCAGATTACAAAGACGACCTCTACGATGATTCGAAAATTGTGTCAAAATGAGTACCAGGATCTCATAGCCAAGGCAATCGAAATTTTCAACTCTGTTGAAAATTGGATTGTTGCGGCAAAATGACACATGACTAAAAATTCTTTATTCAATATATTAGATATGTTAGATATATTAAGGGGTAAATCGCCACTCAACCGGTGAATTTTAATAATGCCGATTTACGCAATTTATCATAAAAAATAGTTGAAACCATTTCTGCCAATCACTTCTTATAAATCACAAGATGGTATTGTTATTGATATATCTACGCATCATGTAACCTTAGAACAACGAGACCGTGACCTTAGATCACAATTGAGCTACAAGTTAAGTCTTTCTTTTGCGCAAACGAACTAGATTAAACTAGGAACTGAAAAAAGAAAAAACGGGTTGAGTTAACACTTTCAGGCTATATTGTGTCTCTATGTTAAAATATGCATTATTTAATAAAATAAAATCGTTGACAAAAGTAACAACTAATACATAAATTGCGAATAAAACTGCTGTTATTTCGGGACGATCTCTCAAAATAAAAGGAATAATAAGAAGAACCAACCTCAGAAAAGATCAAAGGGTGCGCCCTCCCAAGGTGGTTCCAATAGTTTTCCGACGAATAAAGCAGATATTCGATATTCTGAAGAAACTATTGACAATTTTAGGGTTATAGGGGCGTTAGTGTTAACTCTTTACAACTTATCTTTAAATTTAGATGCGTCATTCTGCGTCTTACATTATTTACGCGCAGCACCGTTCGACGGTGAAAGAGCAATACGGATCATTATTATTTTTTGTTGATAGTTACGCTCACAAGAATTTTCGATCGCTACCGGCGTAACTGTAATGAATTACTTTGGTCCGATAACTGGATGGCATTAAAAGTAAATTTATAATTGACAGATATAGATTTCTTTTAGAAATTTTTATTTCTTTCTTCTTTTATTTGGTTTGTATTTCTATGTAACTATCTTTCTTTAAATAAAAAAAAATAATAATTTTAATTTATATAAATAATTAACCAAATGTTGACTATTTAGTATAACTGACAATAAATGAAATTTTCCCGAGTTAATAAATGAAATTATACAACATTTTTCGTTATGACTATAAAAAATTATATTCATGCATACTACAGTATATATAGATGCAATAAATATATTTTATATACAAATTATATTGGAATACATTTCTTTATTTGAAGAAATTTAAAATTTCATGTGACACATGCAAGAAATACAATTAGTTTGAAGTTATCTCCTTATCCCAATCTGCCGTGCTTAATACACGTTGTACCTAATTATATAACGGGTGCTATTCTAATAATCTACGCAAAGACCTCGTTAAAAATTTTCGTATTTTCGTTTACGAAAAAAAAAGTTAATAAGGACAACTATTTACCTAAATTCTAATTACAATAACTCTTCAGGTGAATTACCCCATGAAATGAAAGACAAAAAATACATAATAAAATAACCTAATTTTATTATTATAATGAGACAACACGTACTAATATAACAAATATGTTTATGAATTGTAAAGGATGTGTAATTTCATCCACATAAACATGTCATGATTAGTCATGGCGAAAGACGCCTGTCATTACTAAATACATAAACTATATATTAAAATCTGATAATATTATTGCTAATGAATACGATATAGTGAATTTCTAGTATAAACATAAGCTTAATGATGTTGTTACTCATTATTATTCATATCGCAGCAAAATAGGAAATTTTTTTTTTATTTTTAGAAAAAAAATTTGTACACAAAAATAAAGCCCAGTGCAGGAATCGAACCCGCGTTTCCACGGTTACATTACATTGTTTAATACTTTCTAATCTGGTGTGGCGTTCTAACCAACTGAACTAACCGGGCGATTAATTTGATATTTTCTTTGAGTATAAATATTTGATACCTAATTTGACGGTTTCAACCTCTATATTATGATAAATAAATCATTATAAAAGCTTTTTAAATAACTTTATAAAAAAATTTAATTAAGAATGGATTCGTTTCTTAAATAAATCTAATATAAAAACGTTTAATTAAGAATGGATTCGTTTCTTAAATAAATCTAATATAAAAACGTTTAGTTTATAAAAATTAAAATGTGTGTAATAAAATTGGCCCATCTCCCCTGACTCCCTATCCCCATTGGCTCCATATAATTTACACTTGCTGTTCATAGTGTCCATAATGACCCTATAAGAAATCTGTATACGGAAAGGATACGTTTTATAAACGTTTGATATACGTTTTTACCGATTCCGTATAATAATTCCGTATATTTAATACGTAATTCATTTTTGAAAGTTTTTTAAAAAATTGGTGCATATGGAATGTATGCGGAAAAATTAATATATACGGAACGTATACGGAATTTTTGAACTTGTTTTTTTTAAATAATGATTTTATCGATTTTATCGTCATAAGTCATAACACGTGATCACGTGATTTTTGTTATGATACGTTTTTTGTTTATATAAACCCAGCTTTGATCTTCCACCCTGTCTTACTGTCTTTCTCTCCCTGATTTTTTATTTCGCTATTTTTTTTTTTTTTTAAAAAAAAAAAACTCTTTTTTTCTTTTATTTGTTGCCCCTCTTTTTTATTCTTACTTGCTACTCTTCTTTTAAAAACTTCTTTTCCTTTATTTCCCTAACTTCGTTATTCCTTTTTCAAAAAAAAAAAAAAAAAAAAAATTTATTTTACTTTTTTACTTCCACCTCACTATCCTTTCTTTTTTATTTATTTTTATTCTTTATTTTGTAGATCAGATTTTTTTTTTGGCTGCTTGGTTCCTTTTTTCTTATTGCGGTCAATTTTGAAGTACTTTTTTTTTGTAAGTCAGGTAGGAACCGGACGTTTGGAGACTTGGATGATTGCAGGTACTATATAGGCGGAGCTTATATTTCTTTTTTTTTTTTGCTTTTAGGTTGTCTGACTCCTGATGACTTGGACGAATCCAGAATTATAGGCACAATAGGGAAGCGTTGGTCTAATTGAGTTAAAGAAACGTACTAGTGTCTTTTTTCATTTATTTTGAAGGAATAGGTTATTTCTTTGGACTAAGTGCTCCTGGAGACTTTTGATTTCTTAAAAAAAATCAAATTTCTTAACGAAACATCAGTAGAAATAGTATTAATGTTTCTTTTTGTTTTGGTTTGCAATAGTTGGTTTGATAGGAATAAACTATTCATAATATATTTGTGTTTATTTTATTTTTTTATTTTTTTGATTTAATAAATAAAATTAAATTTATGTAAATAAAGTCTAGTAATAAATTGTAATAAATTGTAATATAAACAGTAAATTTAATAAGCAATAATATAAATTTCATGGTAAAACAGTGATTAAATCACGTAAATTCTGTATGCATTCCATGAAAATTCCGTATCCAAACCATATTTATAGTGATACGGAATTGTGCAATTTTCCGTATCTTTTCAACGGTCTATTGTGATACGTTATTTCTAAGGAAAAAAATCGTATAAAAATCTTATTAAAAACGTATCCAGTTTTTTTATAGGGTGAATGAATGAGAGAAACATAGCCCGTAAGCCATAACATAGTCCCAATCCCATTTGTCCCAACTTATTTGCCATTTCCTTATAAACCTAAAATAAGTCACGTGACGTTACTTAAGTTTCGTCGCAATAATTTAATTTTGGCCGGAATTATACCTTAAATGAAAATTTTTCAACAAAGTGTGGTAAAATGGTAAATCACAAAAAAAAAAAAAAAATCAATTCAATAAGTTTTGTACTGTATTGGAAAAAGCCATAAAATTCAGTAATATTATATACACTACTTGAATGGATTGAGTTATTGAATTTGGGATTTGAGGTTTGAGATGGAGATAGGTATGGATTTGTGTGAGTGGCAAGTATATGAACTTCACTGACAACTCAATTTGGCTTGTGCTTTCAAGTCGATGCAGTTCAGCCTGATTTGAACTGTACCGTTAGCAATATTAGACTTAAAACATTTAAATTAACTATAAGAAAAAACGAATTGAATAAGTTTAAACGAAATAATGTTTTAAAATGATTATAACGTCATTATTCAAGTTGGTGGGGCAAAAATACAAAATAATTTCGAGCGAATATAAAAAATTTTACGTACACGTTATCTGGTATAAATTTATTTGTGATATATAAAGTAGTTAGCTGAATATTTAAAATTTAAATATTTAAAATAATAATTTAGTCTTTATGTTCAATTATATCTTTTAATACTGTTTTAGTATATATATATATACAATTGTTTTTAACAAATTGGTTACTGGAAAATCACATACAGTAAATATTGATACGAATAAAATTGCTTGATTTTATTAATGTAACGATACTTTTTTCCGCCATAAAGTATGATTTCATAAATTATATTTCTATTTTAAAATCCCGTTCTAAAGCTTATCATTTAATCATAATAAATATCACCCTTTTTAGATAAATCAGAGTAGAATTTCCACTTGTAGAACAAAAATACGAGAAAAATTTATAGTTCAACAACGAATTTTTAATTTTCTAAATATTTACAGTATACTAACAATCAGTTCTCGCATCAAAAAAATCAGTCCAACTATGAAACAGAATAACACAGTGTGTCAATTTCATTGGAATATTTATTAACAAACCAGGTCAATGGGTCATTTATGGGGACATGGAACTTTGTCGCACAAATGTATATTTAAAACAATCAAAAGGTGATACCATGCGATATTATGCAACCAATGCGATAAAGAACGTAATTTTTGTAAAAGTGTGATTTATTTTATGTCGTCGATCATTCGCAGTGCATGCATTTGCAAAAACTTTACGATTCTACAAAGAATTTTTATTGCACAAATAAAAGTTGGATTCGATGATATCTACAAAAGAATTCCTTGAGAGAGATCTAAATACGAATTTATTTTGATTTTATGGATATTAAGAAACTTAGTTACGAGTGAATTTGATTATTTATATTATGTTAGATTCTATTATAAATGTAAATATTCTTTTTTTTTTTTTTTTTTTTTTTTTTTTTTTGATAAAATTTCGTTTTTTACGTTAATTGATTGTATTACAACTTGATATTTCATTTTCATATATCAGGGAACAGTAAAACAAGAGATGAGATTTTCGATTGTTAAAAAGAAAAATATTGACAATCATTGTTCTACAAAAAAGTTTGTTTATTTTTCATGAATTTTTAATTGTTTTAAAAAACTTTTTTCCGTTTTCATTTAATAATAATAATATGTAATGTAATAAGCGAAAATAGCGCAAATTTGACACGTGGAATTTTAATTGGACAGAGATCCCTGTCAAGATGACATATCTCGGAGATCCCGTTTAATGATATCATTTAGATATAAGATAAAGATTCGAATCGAAGTTCATTAAGCTTAATGATATTATTACGTAACTATAATTAAAAATAGAATATTAAAAAAACCAACTTTATTTTTTTACGTTGATATTCATCCCAAATATCCAAAATGTATGAGAGGCCCAAAATTAAAATAAAAGTTAAAATTAGGCGGGAAAAAATTATTAATTTTTTTTAAAAAATTACCATTTTTAATAAGAATTTATATATTGGATAAATAATAATTTTATTAACTTGTCATGCACCATTCTTTTAATTTTTAATTCTTTTTAATTAATAAACAATTTTTTTTCGAAAATCATTAATTAATAGAGCTAACAAATTAACATTATGTTCAAAACGTGTAATTTTGGAATGTTCAAGAATTAAAAATTCAAATTCTTTATGGTAAAGTTTTTTGACTAAGCCATAGTATACGTAATCCGATCTTCTTCCCCACAAAAAAAAACAGAGATCCTACATGGTTTAAAAGAAAAGCATATTATTGGACAATTGACCAACTACAATTGATTATGTAGTACATAATAATTTTAATAATTTTAGATTAATAACGTAATAAAATTTAATAAATTTAACATGTGTCAACTTGAGAGATTATCATTTGGTTGTAACTTTATCATGGAATAAATATTCGGAAAAAATTTGTGTTTTTTTTTGAGTTATAAAAAGAAATACGCTTAAATTTTTTCCGCGCAGTTGCAAAAGCATATATTATTTATTATTCGTTAACCTAAACTGAAAAAATATTAATAATCACAAATAAGACATTGATATTTAGATAAAACCGATAAAGCCGCGATAAAAATAAGTTATGTACTGTATCGATTATGCACTAATATTGTCTAAAATTTTATATAAAAGCAACATAAATCCATGAAAAGATCCTCAAAATTTTATTTCGTTCTTTAAAACAAAATAATTTTTTTGAAAATACGTTTAATCCAACGAAATTTACTATTAAAAATGTGTGTGGAATGTCGAAAAATCGTTACTTTAGATGACTTCTTGACTAAAATAGATTACGAAAATCTTAAACAACTCAACGGTCAGCAGATACTTGCCTATCAAACCAGCCAACCCCTTCACCGCTTTAAATTATTAAATGGAAAAGATTTATTGAATATTTATTTGGAATCGGAAGCAATTCGATTAAAAGTACACGATAAATTTTTAGTAAAATTGGCATTGTATCATATTTGGATTACGAATCTTAATTTACGAGACAAGTTGTTGGACTTAGCTGACGATGTTAATAAAATCAACTTAAATAAAAAACGAGTTTGTGATGAAAATTTAAATAGAATTATCCGAATAGACGTACCACAGATGGTCAATAGTATTTTTGAAGAACATATATTTAATGGGGTTAAAGACTTTAGTAATAATGATGACAAAAATGTTGGATTTGGTTGTTTATAAGCTATAACCCATTCGCACTATATATGAAAGTTCTTTATTTAAAAAATCCTTCGTAATATAGATACTGTATAGACTCGTA